CAGGCTGGAGTACATAGGATCACTGGAAGCAGGCTACAGGCTGGAGTACATAGGGTCACTGGAAGCAGGCTACAGGTTGGAGTACATAGGGTCACTGGAAGCAGGCTACAGGCTGGAGTACATAGGGTCACTGGAAGCAGGCTACAAGCTGGAGAACATAGGGTCATGGAAGCAGGCTACAAGCTGGAGTACATAGGGTCATGGAAGCAGGCTACAGGCTGGAGTACATAGGGTCATGGAAGCAGGCTACAAGCTGGAGTACATAGGGTCATGGAAGCAGGCTACAGGCTGGAGTACATAGGATCACTGGAAGCAGGCTACAGGCTGGAGTACATAGGATCACTGGAGCAGGCTACAGGCTGGAGTACATAGGATCACTGGAAGCAGGCTACAGGCTGGAGTACATAGGGTCACTGGAAGCAGGCTACAGGTTGGAGTACATAGGGTCACTGGAAGCAGGCTACAGGCTGGAGTACATAGGGTCACTGGAAGCAGGCTACAGGTTGGAGTACATAGGATCACTGGAAGCAGGCTACAGGCTACAGGCTGGAGTACATAGGATCATGGAAGCAGGCTACAGGCTGGAGTACATAGGGTCACTGGAAGCAGGCTACAGGCTGGAGTACATAGGGTCATGGAAGCAGGCTACAGGCTGGAGTACATAGGGTCACTGGAAGCAGGCTACAGGCTGGAGTACATAGGGTCATGGAAGCAGGCTACAGGCTGGAGTACATAGGGTCATGGAAGCAGGCTACAGGCTGGAGTACATAGGGTCATGGAAGAAGGCTACAGGCTGGAGTACATAGGATCACTGGAAGAAGGCCACAGGCTGGAGTACATAGGGTCATGGAAGAAGGCTGCAGGCTGGAGTACATAGGGTCATGGAAGAAGGCTACAGGCTGGAGTACATAGGGTCACTGGAAGCAGGTTACAGGCTGGAGTACATAGGGTCATGGAAGCAGGCTACAGGTTGGAGTACATAGGGTCATGGAAGCAGGCTACAGGCTGGAGTACATAGGGTCACTGGAAGCAGGTTACAGGCTGGAGTACATAGGGTCATGGAAGCAGGCTACAGGTTGGAGTACATAGGGTCATGGAAGCAGGCTACAGGCTGGAGTACATAGGGTCACCGGAAGCAGGCTATAGGCTGGAGTACATAGGGTCACTGGAAGCAGGCTATAGGCTGGAGTACATAGGGTCATGGAAGCAGGCTACAGGCTGGAGTACATAGGGTCATGGAAGCAGGCTACAGGCTGGAGTACATAGGGTCATGGAAGAAGGCTACAGGCTGGATTACATAGGGTCATGGAAGCAGGCTACAGGCTGGAGTACATAGGGTCATGGAAGCAGGCTACAGGCTGGATTACATAGGGTCATGGAAGCAGGCTACAGGCTGGAGTACATAGGGTCATGGAAGAAGGCTACAGGCTGGAGTACATAGGATCACTGGAAGAAGGCCACAGGCTGGAGTACATAGGGTCATGGAAGAAGGCTGCAGGCTGGAGTACATAGGGTCATGGAAGAAGGCTACAGGCTGGAGTACATAGGGTCACCGGAAGCAGGCTATAGGCTGGAGTACATAGGGTCACTGGAAGCAGGCTACAAGCTGGAGTACATAGGGTCATGGAAGCAGGCTACAGGCTGGAGTACATAGGATCACTGGAAGCAGGCTACAGGCTGGAGTACATAGGATCACTGGAAGCAGGCTACAGGCTGGAGTACATAGGATCACTGGAAGCAGGCTACAGGCTGGAGTACATAGGGTCACTGGAAGCAGGCTACAGGTTGGAGTACATAGGGTCACTGGAAGCAGGCTACAGGCTGGAGTACATAGGGTCACTGGAAGCAGGCTACAAGCTGGAGAACATAGGGTCATGGAAGCAGGGCTACAAGCTGGAGTACATAGGGTCATGGAAGCAGGCTACAGGCTGGAGTACATAGGGTCATGGAAGCAGGCTACAAGCTGGAGTACATAGGGTCATGGAAGCAGGCTACAGGCTGGAGTACATAGGATCACTGGAAGCAGGCTACAGGCTGGAGTACATAGGATCACTGGAAGCAGGCTACAGGCTGGAGTACATAGGATCATGGAAGCAGGCTACAGGCTGGAGTACATAGGGTCACTGGAAGCAGGCTACAGGTTGGAGTACATAGGGTCACTGGAAGCAGGCTACAGGCTGGAGTACATAGGGTCACTGGAAGCAGGCTACAGGTTGGAGTACATAGGATCACTGGAAGCAGGCTACAGGCTACAGGCTGGAGTACATAGGATCATGGAAGCAGGCTACAGGCTGGAGTACATAGGGTCACTGGAAGCAGGCTACAGGCTGGAGTACATAGGGTCATGGAAGCAGGCTACAGGCTGGAGTACATAGGGTCACTGGAAGCAGGCTACAGGCTGGAGTACATAGGGTCATGGAAGCAGGCTACAGGCTGGAGTACATAGGGTCATGGAAGCAGGCTACAGGCTGGAGTACATAGGGTCATGGAAGAAGGCTACAGGCTGGAGTACATAGGATCACTGGAAGAAGGCCACAGGCTGGAGTACATAGGGTCATGGAAGAAGGCTGCAGGCTGGAGTACATAGGGTCATGGAAGAAGGCTACAGGCTGGAGTACATAGGGTCACTGGAAGCAGGTTACAGGCTGGAGTACATAGGGTCATGGAAGCAGGCTACAGGTTGGAGTACATAGGGTCATGGAAGCAGGCTACAGGCTGGAGTACATAGGGTCACTGGAAGCAGGTTACAGGCTGGAGTACATAGGGTCATGGAAGCAGGCTACAGGTTGGAGTACATAGGGTCATGGAAGCAGGCTACAGGCTGGAGTACATAGGGTCACCGGAAGCAGGCTATAGGCTGGAGTACATAGGGTCACTGGAAGCAGGCTATAGGCTGGAGTACATAGGGTCATGGAAGCAGGCTACAGGCTGGAGTACATAGGGTCATGGAAGAAGGCTACAGGCTGGAGTACATAGGATCACTGGAAGAAGGCCACAGGCTGGAGTACATAGGGTCATGGAAGAAGGCTGCAGGCTGGAGTACATAGGGTCATGGAAGAAGGCTACAGGCTGGAGTACATAGGGTCACTGGAAGCAGGTTACAGGCTGGAGTACATAGGGTCATGGAAGCAGGCTACAGGTTGGAGTACATAGGGTCATGGAAGCAGGCTACAGGCTGGAGTACATAGGGTCACCGGAAGCAGGCTATAGGCTGGAGTAGTACATAGGGTCACTGGAAGCAGGCTATAGGCTGGAGTACATAGGGTCATGGAAGCAGGCTACAGGCTGGAGTACATAGGGTCATGGAAGCAGGCTACAGGCTGGAGTACATAGGGTCATGGAAGCAGGCTACAGGCTGGATTACATAGGGTCATGGAAGCAGGCTACAGGCTGGAGTACATAGGGTCATGGAAGAAGGCTACAGCCTGGAGTACATAGGATCACTGGAAGAAGGCCACAGGCTGGAGTACATAGGGTCATGGAAGAAGGCTGCAGGCTGGAGTACATAGGGTCATGGAAGAAGGCTACAGGCTGGAGTACATAGGGTCATGGAAGCAGGCTACAGGCTTGAGTACATAGGGTCATGGAAGCAGGCTACAGGCTTGAGTACATAGGGTCATGGAAGCAGGCTACAGGCTGGAGTACATAGGGTCACTGGTTTAGGGTAATGTGGAATTGCAGAGACTCATGCTGGGGTTAAGTACAGGCAGGAGTACACGGGATCAAACTAAAGCAGATGGCACACTGATGAGCACAGGGACAAACAGGAGCTTCATCAGAGTTGATCACAGGAGGCACACAGAATCTGGGAACACTGGGGGTATGGAGATCAGATTGAAAGGAACTGTGAGATACTTGGGAAGTCACTGGAAATAGAAGGGGTCCAGCTACCAGCCCATGCTTTACTTGAATGCTGAAATAACCTCCACGTCAACCCATGAAGATGGTGCCCCTCAGTGATTGGCTGCAGTGAAGGCAGAAGCAGGCTGCCAAACACTGCACACATAGATTGCTGGAGTGTAGAACAGATGATTTTGAAATAAAGATATATCAGGCAGCAGCCATCCTCTATGGTATGAGCCTTTCCCCTGTATGTGTAAACTTCAGCTTGAGCTATTGGGTTCTGTAAACAAGTAGACTTTAGGAGGTGCTAAAGAAAGGAAAACAAGAATACTCCTTCTGGCTTCACATGTAAATGGAGTCATCTATTCCCCATTGCTCCACACGACGTGTTGGCATGAAATAGTAACAGTTGCGCTGACTCCCCAATGTTTGTTGGCCACACACTACAGAAAATCCTAAAAGTTCCACTAGAAGCATTGAGAAATTTGGCTTTACACTGGGATCTTATCAAGCCATATTATGTGGAATTATTATAATGGCTTGTTGAACATAATTTAACCACTTCGTTGCCACCATTTTCTGCAGAGTTTTCAGTTTCCTCCACATCCCGACATCCATTAACATCTATAGAAGGGACATAAATGACAAAGCTTGGAATGGTCACTCCGAGATTAATGTCGGTTAATGCGATTTGTCTGGAGACGGGCCAAAGATCATTTAAACAAATGGCCATGAAGACAACTTCTTTATTCATCAATCAAATACAAAGGTATTTATTTTTAGAGCTTTGAGAACTCGCTACTTAGTATGTTCATTTAAAGAAACATTTGAAGGTATATTAATCAATAATTCACAATTTGCCCCGGTGAATACTTCATAGATATCCTCCAAGTGAGATTTGATGGGATACACCCTGAGTTCTATAGTCACATTCACCCACATACACGGCACTTGCAGGTTCATTCGTTGCAAAGGAGATCAGGGATCAGATACTTCCCAAGTTCCTCTTATTCTCAATGTTGGGGCATTTCACGCATTTTACTGGGGTCCTCAGCACTGGTCACTGGGGAACTGAGGGGGTGCATTCAGGGGCAGACTGACCATTTGGAAACTCGGGCACTGCCCGAGGGCCCGGGGTCAGTAGGGGGCCCCATGAGATGCCCCTGGTACCTTTTTCATAGGCTTTTTTGAGTTTGGCCAAGAACACAGGGGCCCCATGATCCCCTATTGCCCGGGGGCCCAATGAGTTGTCAGTCCGCCTCTGGGTGCATTCTATATACAGTAAAAGTGACCATAAAAGTGAGGTGAGTGCAGCTGCATGTACACTCACCAGCCTCTTAATTAGGTCCACCTGTTCAATGGCTTGGTAACACAAATTTGCTAATGAGCCAATCATATGGCAGCAATTCAATGCATTTAGGCATCTAGCTGAAGTTCAAACTGGGAAAGAAAGGGGATTTAAGTGACTTTGAATGTGGCACGGTGGTTGGTGCCAGATGGGCTGATCTGAGGATTTAAAAAACTGTTGATCTGCTGGGATTTTCACACACAATCAACTCTAGGGTTTACAGAGAATGGTCCGAAAAAGAGAAAGTATCCAGTAAGTGGCAGTTGTGTGGAGCAAAATGCATTGTTGATGCCAGAAGTCAGAGAATGGGCAGACTGGTTCCAGATGATAGAAAGGCAACAGTAACTCCAATAACCACTCATTACAACCAAGATATGCAGAATACATCTATGAATGCACAACACATTCAACCTTGAAGCAGATGGGCTACAACAGCAGTGGACCACACCGGGTGCCATTCCTGTCAGCTAAGAACAGGAAAAGGAGGCTACAATTCTCACAGGCTCACCAAAATTGAACAATAGAAGATTGGAAAAATATTGCCTGGTCTGATGAGTCTGGATTTCAGCTGCAACATTCAGATGGTAGGGTCAGAAATTGGAGTAAACAACATGAAAGCATGGATCCATCCTGCCTTGTATCAATGGTTCAGGCTGGTGGTGGTGTCATGGTGTGGGAGATCCATCCTGCTTTGTATCAACAGTTCAGGCTGGTGGTGGTGTCATGGTGTGGGAGATCCATCCTGCCTTGTATCAACAGTTCAGGCTGGTGGTGATGTCATGGTGTGGGAGATCCATCCTGCCTTGTATCACCAGTTCAGGCTGGTGGTGGTGGTGTCATGGTGTGGTGGATCCATCCTGCCTTGTATGCACAGTTCAGGCTGGTGGTGGTGGTGTCATGGTGTGGTGGATCCATCCTGCCTTGTATCAACAGTTCAGGCTGGTGGTGGGGGTGTCATGATGTGGGGGATCCATCCTGCCTTGTATCACCAGTTCAGGCTGGGCTGGTGGTGGTGTCATGGTGTGGGGGAGATTTTCTTGGTACACTTTGGGCCCATTAGTACCAATAGAGTATTGTTTAAATGCCACAACCTACCTGAGTACTGTTGCTGACCATGTCCATCCCTCTGTGACTCCAGTGTCCCCATCTTCTGATGGCTCCTTCCAGCAGGATAAGGCACCATGTCACAAAGGTCAGATCATCTCTAACTGGTTTCTGGAACATGACAATGAGGTCACTGCACTCCAATGGCCTCCACATTCACCAGATCTCTATCCAATAGAGCACCTTTGGGATGTGGTGGAACAGGAGATTCCCATCATGGATCTGCGGTCAACAAATCTGAAGTAACTGTGTGATGCCACCATGTCAATATGGAGCAAAATCTCTGAGGAATGTTTCCAACACCTTGTTGAATATATGCCATGAAGAAGGAAGGCAAAAGGGGGTCCAACCTGGGACTAGCAAGGTGGACCTCATAAAGTGGCCGTTGAGGGTACAGTATCAGCAAAGACTCAGATAGCCTGCAGGTGAATCTGCTTACATGAGCTCTCCCTGGTTCTGAAATGTTGTATAAACCATAGAGAGCGATTTCCAACAAAATGCCATTCCCATATCCCCATAGCATGGGAACAAGCATGCACCCCCTCTCCTATGTTAAAACCAGCTCCCATGGGGGACTGTATAAGAGGGGCTCCCCTTCCTAAAGATGTGACACTGATAGGCACTGGGTCCTTCAGCACTTCCAGTGCTGAGAAAGGGAGGCCAGCAAAGGGGAAGCTTATGAAACCACCTACCTCCCTCCCCATAAGGGGCAAGCAGGTGGTTTCCCATTACTTGGTGAACTGATTTTAATCGTTTCTCAAACCCCCAACCAGTTGGTAAAAGTAAAAAAATTAGCACAGAAGTATAGGTTTAAAAATATTCTTTTATTCTCTGTTAACAAATTCTGTGCTCAATGTCCAAAGAAGTCCTGCAGGATCAAGCAGGAGCTACCTGAAGATGCCTGCTAGGCGAAACATGTAGGGGCAGAACTGTGTTCAGCTACATCCGGGTCCGGTGACGTCACATCCGCTTCCGGTATATGGAACGCATGCCAACTCCCCTGTTGAGCCGTGACAACATCTTCAGCTGAGTGTATTAGTGCCGAGGATTGGGAACCAACTGATCTCAGTGTACATTTGGTTGATTTTATCCAATTTTATAATAAATATATTATACTATGAGACATTTCTTCTTCTGATTCTTGCTAACCTTGGATATGGAGTAACTTGGGAGACCATTGAGAAGATATACAACGATGTTCCAAACTCTGGGGGACACAAAGAGCATCAGACCTTCTCTAAATAGGAGGTCATGGATGGTTGGTGAGTGCAATATATAGGCTTACGGTGGAAGAGCACAAAGGATCTGCATGGAGCAATTTATTGGGCACCAGAAGATTCTGCACCATTATTTTTGATCCACAATTGATGTGGGACTTTTGTGTTTGTTTTTGAAATTGCTGGTTGATATCACTTAAGGTCTCGTATGTTTATATATATAGTTACATAGTTAGTCTGGCTGAAAAAAGACAAAAGTCCATCCAGTTCAACCATTAAAGAAAAAAAAAGTTACAATCCTACACCTACAATTCATCCAGAGGAAGGCAAAAAATACCAGCAAAGCACGATCCAATCTCCTCCTGCAGGGAAAACAATCCTTCCTGATCCCCCGAGAGGCAATCGGATATTCCCTGGATCACCTTTCCCTATAAATGTTATATCCAGTTATATTCTGTGTATCCAAGAAAGAATCCAGGACTTTCCTACAGCAATCCACTGAGCTGGTCACAACCAACTCTGGAGGGAGTCTATTCCACATTCTCACAGCTCTTACTGTGAAGAAACCTTTCCGTGTTTGGAGCTGACATTTCTTTTCCTCCAGACGTAAAGAGCACCCCCTTGTCCTCTGTGATGACCTCAGGGGGAATAACTACACCGAGTTCACTATATGAACCACTGATGTATTATACATGGAGATCATATCCCCCCTTATGTATTATACATGGAGGTCATATCCCCCCCTTATGTATTATACATGGAGATCATATCCCCCCCTTATGTATTATACATGGAGATCATATCCCCCCCCCTTATGTATTATACATGGAGATCATATCCCCCCTTATGTATTATACATGGAGATCATATCCCCCCCTTATGTATTATACATGGAGATCATATCCCCCCTTATGTATTATACATGGAGATCATATCCCCCCTTATGTATTATACATGGTGATCATATCCCCCCTTATGTATTATACATGGAGATCATATCCCCCTTATGTATTATACATGGAGATCATATCCCCCCCTTATGTATTATACATGGAGATCATATCCCCCCTTATGTATTATACATGGTGATCATATCCCCCCTTATGTATTATACATGGAGATCATATCCCCTCTTATGTATTATACATGGAGATCATATCCTCCTTATGTATTATACATGGAGATCATATCCCCCTTATGTATTATACATGGAGATCATATCCCCCCCTTATGTATTATACATGGAGATCATATCCCCCCTTATGTATTATACATGGAGATCATATCCCCCTTATGTATTATACATGGAGATCATACCCCCCCTTATGTATTATACATGGAGATCATATCCCCCCCTTATGTATTATACATGGAGATCATATCCCCCCTTATGTATTATACATGGTGATCATATCCCCCCTTATGTATTATACATGGAGATCATATCCCCCCTTATGTAATATACATGGAGATCATATCCCCCTTATGTATTATACATGGAGATCATATCCCCCCTTATGTATTATACATGGAGATCATATCCCCCCTTATGTATTATACATGGAGATCATATCCCCCCCCTTATGTATTATATATGGAGATCATATCCCCCTTATGTATTATACATGGAGATCATATCCCCCCTTATGTATTATACATGGAGATCATATCCCCCCCTTACGTATTATACATGGAGATCATATCCCCCTTATGTATTATACATGGAGATCATATCCCCCTTATGTATTATACATGGAGATCATATCCCCCCTTATGTATTATACATGGAGATCATATCCCCCCTTATGTATTATACATGGAGATCATATCCCCCTTATGTATTATACATGGAGATCATATCCCCCCTTATGTATTATACATGGAGATCATATCCCCCCTTATGTATTATACATGGAGATCATATCCCCCCTTATGTATTATACATGGAGATCAATATCCCCCCTTATGTATTATACATGGAGATCATATCCCCTTATGTATTATATAGAGATGAGCGAATTATTCAAAAATTCGATTCGGCTGATCCGCCGAATTTGCGGGAGAAATTTGTTTCGATGCGAATTTATTTGCTGCGAATTTAACTTATAAAAACCCCTTGGGG